CTTGAACAGGGAGCTTTGGAGTGCTGTGCTGTATGAAAACAGAATGTACTGTAGTACTTATAAAATAAATATATATATATATATATATATATATATATATATACACACACGCACACACAGACATACATACACTACTGTATATATGTTTTGGCACAATATATTCCATCAATCATTCATACAGTTCCATGATGTTTAGTATTTACACTCACCGGCCACTTTATTAGATACACATTGCTAGTGCCAAGAAAATATCCCCCACACCATTGCACCACCAGCCTGAACCGTTGATACAAGGCAGGATGAAACCATGCTTTCATGTTGTTTACACCAAATTCGAACCCTACCATCTGAATGTCGCAGCAACCAGTCTATCCATTCTCCTCTGACATCAACAAGACATTTTTGTCCACACAACTGTCACTCACTGGATATTTTCTTTTTTTTTTTTTGGACCATCCTCTGTAAACCCTAGAGATAGTTGTGCGTGAAAATCTCAGTAGATCAACAGTTTTTTTAATTACTCATACCAGCCCGTCTGGCCCCAACAACCATGCCATGTTCAAAGCCACTTAAATCATTTTTCTTCCCTATTCTGATGCTCAGTTTGAACTTCAGCAAGTCATCTTCACCGCATCTAGATTCCTAAATGCATTGAGTTGCCGCCATGTGATTGGCTGATTTGTGTTACCAAGCAATTGAACAGGTGTACCTAATAAAGTGGCCAGTGAGCGTCTACATTCTGTCCAGTATTAGAACATTAAGGGTTCGTGCACACGGGCTTCTGATGCGGACGCCAGTGAGAAGGGGGCCAGTGGAAAGATGTAAACTCCAATTGAATGACATCTAGTCACCATGCATCAAACAATTGCCATTTTTAAATAAAGATTAAAATAAAAATGGAAATAAAATGTATTTCCAGTTTATTATTATTATATGGTACTTATATAATGCCATCAATTTCCGCAGGACTTTACATATATATTTTACATTCACATCAGTCCCCAATCTTCAAGAGACGTACAATTTAAGGTCCCTAACTCACATTCATATATACACATACTAGGGCCAATTTAGACAGGAGCCAGTTAACCTACCAGCATGTCTTTGGAGTGTGGGAGGAAACCAGAGTAACTGGAGGAAACCCACACAGGCACAGGGAGAACATGCAAACTGCAGACAGGTGGTGCCGTGGTTGGAATTTGAACCGACAACCCTATCTGCCAGGCAGAAGTGCTAACCATTAACTGTGCTGCCCATGCACACTGTGCTGTTTACATGCACTCCAGCGATGGTTGCATTACATTTTTAGGGGTGGGTGTTCTAACCCCAGTGGGCCATGCCTGATATTCTGGTAGTTTCCACAAGTGGAAGAAAAAAACAGGGCATTGTCACTGTTTCTTCCAAGCATACATTAATGGCCATTTGTGCAGCAGATATTATTTAAAAGAAAGCTGCAGATTCATAAATATTGAAAATTACTTTTAAAATTACATTAACATGTTAAAAGGTTACATGAGGATTTCAGTGATTGGGTTTTGAAATGTAATAAAATCATAGGCACTGTAACAGAGGCTGTTGGAATATGCAAAGGTGACTGTGAACATCCAAAATGCTGGTGGCAGCATCAAGAATTATGGCAAGATCTCACTGTCAAAGAAGCAGAACCATAAAAGAAGCCAGGGCTGACTCAGCCCAAGATTCACCTGTACCTGAAAACAATTACTTTTTGGAAAGGCTATTTTAATAAAAAAAGACTGCAGAATCCTGCTTTTTACAGAGAAAATTTAAACATTACAAGGATGAACAATACTGATTATATCACTGTGACATATAAGAGACTTTTATTCTAGCCCTTGCAGTAGCCACCAGTAAAGCATGGGATCCCAGTCATATTACCTATCAGGAAAGATACACTATACCAGGGTTTCTAAGCTAGGGTCCCTCCAGAGGTGGCTAGGCGTTCCCTGAGCAATGAACAATGTCTGCCTCTCAGATAAACTCCCACTCACACCCTTGATGTTTTTAGCCATCTGTAAGGGGGTAGTTCTTTCCAATGACCACAAGTGTAAGGAGCATTCTTCCCACTTACCATCACACTAATGTATCTTGAGTTGTAGATATAGTAATTTTTTTAGCAGGGGTTCCCTAAGACCGCAAAGTTATTTTAAGGGTTCGTCCATGTTGAAAACATTGAGTTCTTAAATTGTAGCACATGTAAGACTAAAGTTCTACAACATATATATTATGTTCATACCATCTTCCAGAGGTGCTGCTGGTTCATTTACGTGCTGGAGAAGTGAAGCCAGTTCATCTTGTGTAAAGTTTTCAGACAACTTGTCATCTGTCTATTAAGCAGTAAAAAATTAATTAACTTGCACATCACCAGTACACCTCCATACACGCTACATATATTGCATTACATTTGCACACAGAATTCATCTTTGCACATATGGTTTAGATTCAAATAGATAAGTATAAACCCACTGACAAATTAACAACAGTTGTAGTGCACTAGATAGATGCCTGTTTACAAGTTTCCTCAAGTTTCATTTAAAACAGGCATTGGACAATTGGCTCCATTGTGCAATCAATACAAATTTTCTCCGTCCTCTGACCACAGTTTTGTGATTGGCTGAATTAACTGCCTTCCATAAACTAGGTGTACTTATATACTTTGGATGATCTAAAACATATCGAAATTATTTCCCTTTTGTGACTGGACAAAGGGAATACACAGTTATATTGTACCATTAGAAGGGTTAATATAGTTTATGTGAAAACATTATCCCTTTTTTGTCTATTGAGGGACACTGAAAGTCTTTATCTTTGGGTTACACTCCCGCCTACAGGAGGACTGCACACAAACAAACAAAAAAACTGTAGGCATACCAAGAATAAGAAACAAGCAAAGCATTTTCCAGCAACACTTACCAGCCAACCAGCAAAACAATCAAATTCTCCCTGTCTAACTGTTTGAGTTAAAAACAGAGGGTTTTGTATGCACACATTTGTAAATACATGCATAAGCCACAGTCCCACGTCAAGAGTCCTCTGTATAATGTGGACCTAACTCTAAAATTTCCAGAGACTCCATAGTAGGAGCACATATATCAATGGATAGGTTAAGGCAGGTGTGCCTGGAAGAGCCCATCCCTTCTTAAAAAGTACAGGGACGTACGTGACACCCAGCTATAACAAAATGACAGCAAAGGCATCCAGTGTGTCCCTGCATTCAAATTAGCCAACTGCAAAAAATTGCAACTGTCCCAAACTATAACCAGCCTTACCAGTAAGGTGCACATGGAAGGGCAATGCACATCGTAAATGCACATCGTAAAAAAAAAAAAAGGATTTCCCAGCACCACTTACCAGTCAGCCTGCAGTACAACCTGCCCTTAACCTATCCATTGATATATATGCTCCTATTATGGAGGCTTTAGAATTTTTAGAGTGAGGTTCACAGTATACAGAGGACCCTTGATGCGGGACTGTGGCTTACGCGTGTATTTGCAAATATATGCAAACAAAACCCTCTGTTTGTAATGCAAACTGTTAGACAGGGCCAAATTGGTTGTTTTGCAGACTAGCTGGTAAGTGTTGCTGAGAAATCTTTTCTTTGTTTGTGATGTGCTTTGCCCTTTCATGTGCACCTTACTGCTAAGGCAGGTTATAGGTTGGGATGGTTGCCATTTGTTTTGTGCTATCCAGAATAACCCCTTATAATACGAGCATGTCTCATTTTTTGCCAAAGTCATAGGCGTATGGTTGTCTTCTCTTCAGACCCTGCTTTTGGAGCACCATGTCTGGACCACATTGGACTAGACATTGCAGAGACAGCCTGGAATCAACCTTTGGGCACTGGGTTTCTCATAGGGCACATTAAAGAATCCAAAATCTATTCTGGTTAAAGTTAGCTGCAGATTGATTTCCAGGTTCAGAGCTGCTGGCCGTGCCTTAGCCCTTACCCTGTCTCTGAAGACTTACTTAGTGACTAGGTGGTCAGGTTGAGCATCGGGAGCTACCTCATTTACTTAGTTTGATGGTGTCAATATTCTCAGTACTTAGCCATTTTGCTTCGGAAGGGATGATGTTGGGGGATTGAGCACTGTGAGTGTCATTTGAGCTGGGTGGAGTGTTAGTTACACACGTTCCGTACTTTCTTTCCTGACCTAAAGCATCAAGGAAGCATCTTCCTGCTTCTGCTCCTGCTTGCAAAGAGCCATGTGGAACTTCATTCTTTGATCCATTACTGTTGCCCACCTACAGTGGTTCTAGTCACCTAAGGGACCCTCACTGGTTACCAGCTGTCCAGATTTCACGAGTACCCGAGTCATCTTTAGCTCCATTGCATGTAGCTGGATCCTCTCCTTTTGGCTGAGGTTTTTACTATGGTCATGCAGGATGTCATGACTTAAATCACTCAGTTATTTGTAGACTCTGATCAAAGAGGCGCTCCAGCATGGTGCTTCTACCCCAGGAGTTTCTCTGTGCCACACATTTTCTCCTTTCTGTATCTGGGTCTAGACCCACAATTGGTTCTCAGCACTATCAAGGGTCAGGGTATTAAACTGCTGTCAGATTTTTATTCCAATCTGTATCTGCATTAGGGAGATTTCTCTCACTTACTGTCAGGACAAGAAGTGAAGTAATTCTTTTCAGTGGGAACAGAAAATTAAAACAATTTTTTTTAGTAAAATGGGGAAGGGATAGAACCTCTGCCAGGTTTCAGACTTCGTGCCTTAGTGACCATCACTCCCCTCATGTCTTGTCCTGCTGTCACAGGGACAGAAAGTAATATGAAATTTCAGTCTTAGCAAAAAAATTACTTTTTTAAAATCTATCAAAAACTAGAAAAAATTAAATCTTTGCTTTGTCACTGTTTGGGAGATTCAACATATTTTCTCATTCATTGACAGAGGTCACCAGGACAAGAAGTAAGGGAAAATATCTTCATCGGGGACCCATAGAAAGGAAACAGCTAACGCCTAGCTAAAGCTTTATCAGAAGTCCTTCTTTAGAGTGATCCTATAAGCAAAATGTACTGTATTTACCTGGGTACCCACAATAGATTTGACCACTTTCAGTAGGCCTCTTCTGGTCAATATGGTATTTGCTGAAGGCCGCTGTCGAGGGTCTTTGCGGAACATCTGTTTGATGAGACTGCGTATTTCATAGGAGTATTGTGAAGGGAGTGGACTGTAAGATCCATGGCATATCTTCATTATTAGGTTTTTCCAGCTTCCTGCCTGAAACTTGAAAGAAAAGACTAACAACGTAATTACTTAATTTACAAGATACAGTGAGGTGTAGGTTTGCTGTGCTGTAACATATGCATTGTTAATATAGCAAATTAACAATCCCTAATTTCACAAACGGTCTAAAAAAAAAAACAGTTCAGGCAAGCACAGGACAAGGATTGCTGCACAATGAAAGGATATGGATTTTTGTCAGGAGCAAAATGTTTTCTGAGCCAAAATCAGCTATGACATTGCAAGGAAGAATGGCACACAGAAACATAAATTCAGATCCCTATGTGTGGGTTTCAGAACCACCAGGAAGCCACGAGGCTAAATGTGTTTTCATAGGCTTCTATTTTCTCAAAATTATTCTTTTAATAAACCATTCAATGAACAAACAATGAATACCAAAACTCCTCTGATGTCACGACACTTAAAGGCAAACCAGACAGCAAGTATATGGGAGTGTGGCAAACTTACTAAGGATTATGCAAAATTGTACCAAGGGCGTTTTTTATTTGTTTACTATGTAAGTGCACTATATTTATTTAATAAATCTTTTAAAAAGAGGATAAGGGATTATATTTTCTTTTCAATTACATGGAACATATATATATATATATATATATATATATATATATATATATATATATATGGAGGAAAAAGTCTGAAAGAGTAAAAAGGAGTAAAAAGACCCATCCGTCCACCTCCGGGAAAAGGATCTCTTGATAACGGCAAGACCCCCAGCTGGAAAAAGGAAAAACTCCATTTATCCATCCATCCACCCATTTGGGATACAGGGATTTATCCATTTGTCCATTTCTGAGTCCAAACAAAGGACACAAGCTTGTATGGCCTCACTTAACGGTTTGATTATAACTGGTGAAGGAGCACAATATATATATATATATATATATATATATATATATATATATATATATATATATATATATAAATTTGGTGGACTATACTTTATTTTGGTAATATACCATAAACGACACCATATGATCATGGATTGTTTGAGGATTCCTTTTGAGGATTTTTTTGTGAAGATTTGCATGCAGCACTAGCGTGATTGTAATATCATGTTGTGGAAATCTATTAGGACTCAGTAATTGTTTGCAATATATTTTTAATTAATTTATGTTTATTCATTATACTGATAGTGGAGTGCGACATTACAGGGTTTTTTCACATAATGGATACAATTTCATGAAAGTGGTATTATTGATACAGGTGTTTAGGTAGCTCACTTTCATACAAAATATGTTTTATGTCACTGGTCCCAGCCAACCAAAACTATAATTACCACTATTGTATTAACTTTGTACCAGTAGCTGTGGTTGCTCAAATATAAATTTAAGTGCACTTTTCATTTAAATAGTCCCACTTACATGAATCAATATGGTATACAGTATGTTAGTATAACAAAAATGTTTTATCCTTGATCAATTCAATAAAAAACAGCTATTCCCCAAATCTTAGGCAGCCCAGTTTACATGGTCTCCAGCTACCAATCAATACTGCAGAGAATTTATTGTTTTCAGGCTTCATTAATGTATGATAATCAAAACAGAAATATAAATAGATAATCACAAATTAGAAGGGTTTTATTACATTAATATACACATAAAATAGTTTATATTAAGTTGATCTCTTTAATACACACACACAAAAACACTTACACACCAGGGGCGGACTGACCATTCGAGCACTCGGGCACTGCCCGAGGGCCCGGGGTCAGTAGGGGGCCCCATGAAATGCCCCTGGTACCTTTTTTATAGGCTTTTTTGAGTGTGGGCAAGGACACAGGGGCCCCATGATCCCCTATTGCCCGTGGGCCCCATGAGTTGTCAGTCCGCCCCTGTTACACACACACACTTAAAAGAATATTGATCGCCTTTAAGGATTGAATTGTGGATATGTGGTGCTGTAAAATAAAAGTGCATACTTACTGGATGTTTTAGGGTACAGATTTCGTATAACACACATCCCAATGACCAGATATCACTGAAACAAAGAATAAGAATACTGTGATGATATGTGCAGATGCGAAATGTAAAGGTTACCAAAATGCATAATGATAATCTAATAGCATCTTAGTGTTTTAAGAATTATTTCACTTACTGAAATGGCTGCAGTGCTGGCACTGTAAAGTCTGCGGTCCCAGACCTTTGGCATGCCTGTGTATCCCTGGGTGGTGGGCAAAGGGGCATTGAAGTGAATTTGGGGAGATATTATTACCTTAATGCCTCTGTGTGACCCCAACACTGCCCATCTATGGTTAGGGCAGGGAATTATGGGGGGACAGAGTACTGGTACAGATAAGTAGCGGTGGCACAAAATGGACAACAACAAAGAGGATCAGGGGGTTCTAGTGTTTTCACTCTTCTTACTGTAGGTATCCACAACTGCTACAACTACTGTATTGTTACCATTAAAAACTGTATTTTGAGGACTTGTGCAGAGAAGGCATGGAGAAAAATTCAATATGCATTGATGTAAAATGAATTTAGGTCTAGTACTTATGTAGTTGTTAATATTATGATTATTATTTATTTAACTAGTTCAGCTATCACCCCTTTATACCCCTTTTACGTTTCTACTATGGACCTATTTTTTTTTAATGACAACTTTGTCATTACTTAAGAGAACAAAATAAAGACGATAAAGTAGTACATCTATAATGTTTTAGGGGGATTAACAAGGCTTTCTTTTGGTAATTTTATTTTCAAAAAAATGTTTTATATTCACAGATAAAATACATAAAAATAAATAAACAAAAAAACCCATTTTTCTTGCTTTGATGGTGTTATTGTTAATTTTGATAAATAGTATATATTTTATTCTACAATGTATAATAATAATGTATCCCTCATTTTAATGACACAAATTTTCCTGGTACAAAGCATCGCAAAGTTATTTACAAATACAAGTGACTTTTTTTTTTAATTTTGCACATTTTTTTAATGTATGCAAAAAAAACCCAAATGTTTAAATGTTATTGGATTTATAAGAAAAAGCAGAAACAAGGGAGGAGTTAATTATGGTTGATCAAAATGAACTGATGGTTTATGTAGGTGTAGAGCTATTCACCTGAGGTCATCACAGAGGACAAGGGGGCACTCTTTACTTCTGGAGGAAAAGAAATGTAATCTCCAAACACGGAAAGGTTTCTTCACAGTAAGAGCTGTGAAAATGTGGAATAGACTCCCTCAAGAGTTGGTTCTGGCCAGCTCAGTGGATTGCTTCAAAAAAGGCCTGGATTGTTTCTTAGATACACAGAATGTAACTGGATACTAACATTTATAGGTAAAGTTGATCCAGGGAATATCCGATTGCCTCTCGGGGGATCAGGAAGGAATTTTTTTCCCAGCAGGAGCAAATTGGATCGTGCTTTGCTGGGTTATTTTTTTGCCTTCCTCTGGATCAACTGTGGGTATAGGATTAGAACTTTTTTTTTTTTCTATGGTTGAACTTGATGGACTTTTGTCGTTTTTTCAGCCAGACTAACTAAGTAACTATGTAAATGAGTTAAATAGGAACACATTTGATTTTTTTTTTTTATTATAGGCATTTTTTTAACTGATTTAATATGCAGATTATAGGTCGCTCTTTGATCTTCATATGAAGAAAATATAACAATTTTACACTGTAATTCTAAAGCACACTTTTGAACAGTGTTTAAAAACGGCTCAGCTTTTTTGCAGCCATGACTGCAGCCCCTTCTATATTACTAATTTTTTTCATTTACATCTGGGAATAGCCAGTTGGGTGAGCACTTGCAGGGCAAGTCAAACAGGATGTGCTATATATGCCCTGTGTTATTGGTTAAGCTCTTTTGGGCATATGTAGCATGCCTAAGGTTTAAAACTGGTTAATAAGCACCAAGATAATATATTTGGCATATGCAATATGTATTCTGCTATTATTTATCAAGTACAAAAGCATGACAATGTTAAAGAAGAAAGCCTTGCCTAAATGAGTTTACAATCTCAGACTACCCATAGACTAAGGTGTACAGTTATCCATGCATACACAATCTGAACAATCTCAGGGAGTTTGATTGGCCAGTAGGTCCATGAACAGATACATTCAATTTGACAGGATATTCCTCTCCATTTAAATCAAGTTGGGAGAAGGATGGAATGGGATTTGTGGTTAGATGCTGCCAGCTCTACTTATCTCAAGGTTGAAGTTGTATGGTAACACTAGATATAACAGGAAAGGTGGTGGTAGGTTGTCATAGGAAGGGTGGATTTACCATTAGGCACAGTAGGTGTGTGAAGATGGATGCAGCTTTTCGCTGTATCATCAGGGCCCATACATTTATCAATATTATACGTTTTAACACAGACAACTTGAAAAAGCATATTTACACATTGTTACAATTCTCTAAGCCTCTAAGAATGATCCTTGCACAGGGGTGCTTTGGGTGCCAAAGACTGTATACCTATAAGGTTTCAAAGATAAAACACTGGCCCTGATGATGGGATGGGACTAAGGGAAAAGGGAAAGAGAAAGCAGGGCAGCTAGGAAAGTATTTGACACATTAAAAAGAAATCAATAATTATGATGTCATCCACGAACATTGAAACTAATTCTACAGTGACACATGGTAACTAATGCAATCATATTCTTCAAAGTTCTCACTTAATTTATTTAAAGTGATTGTAAACTCTCAACTTGCAAAGAAACCCATTCAGTTGAAAAGAGAAGTGATCACATACCATCTGTTCTCAGCTGCATAAGTACAGCAGTACATTGATCTTCCCAGTGAATAGCTGTTCGGGGGGGGGGGGGGCAGGACAATTCTGATCATTGGAATAGAGCACAAGGAGTTCCCAGCACAGCTGGAGAACTGATCATGCTGTGCATGAAAGGACTGGCAGGAACACCAGGGATTTCACACAAAGAAAACAATACACAGAGAACAGGATATTTTTTCATGGTACAGCAGGCACATATTAGGGAATATGAAATGTTAGGTTTACATATTCTTTAAAATCTAACTGGGATACTGCACTGTGCACATCACTAGTACTAATTCTACTGCTCCGTTGAATTATAGTATATAATGTCCTTGAAAATGGCCACATCACTGGTAAAAAAAAAAAAATAATGCATTGTGATCATATATTGTGCAATGTTAAAACTACAAAGAAAAGCATAATGTGGTGTTAATGCCCCACCAGAAGACTAGCATTAAATGGATCCCAATGAGGATCACCCCCATCACAACACAGCATCATGTAGGATGTTGTCCTTGTCCTTAGTACAAAGGCTCATAGTCCACTGTCCCAAGAACCAATAAGGATTATGAGCAGAACTTGTACACAATTATAATAATGGCAATCCACATTATTATTATTATTATAATACAGTATTTATAAAGCGCCAATGGTTCGCTCAGCGCTGTACATTACAAAGGGGGACAGAACATGTGACAGAACAATACCAATACAATGCAAAACATGAGGGGATTGAGGGCCCTGCTTTTTCGAGCTTACAATCTAGGAGGGAGGGGATAGTGGTACAGGAGGAGATAGCTGTGGGGGATGGAGTGGTAGGAAGAGTGGAGGAGGTCGGCAGGTTAGCAGGGGGTGGTGTAGGCTTCCCTGAAGAGATGGGTTTTCAGGGTGCGCCTAAAGGAGAGGAGAGTAGGTGATAATCTGATGGGTTGGGGCAGGGAGTTCCAGAGGATGGGTGACACCCCGGAGAAGTCCTGGAGGCGGGCATGGGAGGAGGAGACCAGGGAACTAGAAAGAAGGAGGTCTTGTGAGGAGCGGAGTGTGCGTGCTGGGCGGTATTTGTATATTAGGTCAGTGATGTAGTTTGGGGCAGTATGGTGGACAGCTTTGTACGTCAGTGTTAGGATTTTGAATTTGATCCGTTGCGCAATCGGAAACCAGTGGAGGGATTGGCAGAGGGGGGTGGTGGAGATGGAGCGGTTGGAAAGGTGAATGAGTCTGGTAGCTGTATTCAGGATCGACTGAAGCGGGGATAGCCAGCGGCGAGGTAGTCCAGTGAGGAGGGAGTTGCAGTAATCGAGTCGTGATATGATGAGGGAGTGGATGAGCTGTTTAATGGTTTCTGGGGTTAGGAACGTGCGTATTTTGGCGATGTTGCGGAGGTGGAGTCTGCACGAGTTTGTTAAAGATTGGACTTGGGGCTGGAAGGATAGGTTGGAATCTAGAATGACACCAAGTACTCTGGCCTGCGGGGCGGGTTTGATGGTGGCGTTGTTGGATGTGATAGAGAAGTCAATAGGGGTGGTGTCCGGGCTGGGGGGAAGACAAGAAACTCGGTTTTGGAGAGGTTCAGTTTAAGGAAGTGGAGCGACATCCAATCTGATATGTCGCTCAGTCGGTGTGTGATTTGGGCGGAGACCAAGGGGGTGAGGTGGGGGGTTGAGAGATAGATTTGTGTGTCATCGGCATATAGGTGGTAGGAAGCCGCTGAAGCCGTGAGAGTGTATGAGTTGGCCAAGGAAGGAGGTGTAAATGGAGAAGAGAAGGGGCCCGAGGACAGAGCCTTGAGGGACCCCAACAGAGGGGGAGTGAGGGGGAGGTGGTAGCATTATAGGTAACGCTGAAGGAGCGTTGTGACAGGTAGGATGAGAGCCAGGAGAGAGCAGAATCTCTGAGGCCGAGGGAGTGTAGTTTTTTGAGGAGGAGGGGGTGGTCGACTGTGTCGAAGGCCGCAGAGAGGTCAAGGAGTAGGAGCACTGAATAATGGCCATTAGCTTTGGCGGTTAGCAGGTCGTTGGAGAGTTTGAGTAAGGCAGTTTCTGTGGAGTGTGGGGGACGGAAGCCGGACTGTAGGGGATCGAGGAGGTTGTCGTTGAGGTGAGAGCTTACGCGGGTGTAGACTAGGCGCTCGAGGAGTTTAGATGTAATTGGGAGCAGGGAGATGGGTCTGAGGTTGTTCGGGTCATTGGGGTCCTTTTTAAGTATGGGGGTGATGTGTGCATGTTTCAGAGGGGAGGGGAAAGTGCCGGAGGAGAGGGAGAGATTGAAGATGTGGGTGAGGGAGCGTAGGATGGAGCGGTAGGGAGGTCGTAGGAGTTGTGAGGGGATAGGGTTGAGGGGGCAGGTGGTGAGGCAGGCATCAGAGAGGATCTTGGAGACTTCCTCGATGGTAGTGAGGTCAAAGGTGCGGAGTGTTGGAGGGGCTTCAGTATGAGGAATGTAGGGTTGGGTGGAAGTAGGGGTCAGAGCAGTGGTGGGGCCGTGGGAGAGGGGTGATGAGGGGGGAACGGGGTTGGAGGGAGTTTGAGCAGCGACGAAGTCCCTGCGGGTTATGTCGAGGGAGAGGGGGGATGGGGGGGTAGCTGTGTGAGAGGGGACGGGTTGTAGCGATGTCCTTGCGAATTGTGTCAATCTTGTTTTTGAAGTGATTGGCAATCTCAAGGGCAGTGAGTGAGGTGCTGGGTGGAGGTGGGGGTGGCGAGAGTACAGAGTTGAAGGCGGAGAAGAGTCGGCGAGGATTGAAGGAGAGGGCCTTGATGAGGGTCAGGAAGTAGACTTGATTGGCTGCGTGGAGGGAGGAGGTGTAGGTGTGGAAGGCAGATTTGTAGCGGGTGAAGGCTTGTTGGGATTTGGTTTTGCGCCATAGACGCTCCAGGGCACGACTGTGTCGTTTGAGGGTTTTGGTGTGATCAGTCTGCCAGGGCTGGAGCGGTCGGGGTCTGATGTTGCATGTGGTTAAAGGCGCTAGTGAGTCAAGGGCTGTTGACAGCGCGTTGTTGTAGGCAGGCAGTCATAGCCAAGTCGGGGCAGGACAGGGGGAGGATGCTGTCGTGGGGTTGATCAGCTGCAGAGTGGAGGGGGGCAGGGTTAAGGTTGCGGAGGTTACGGCTGGTAGTAGTGTGACATTTGGAGGGGGGTAGGCGTTGGAGGACGAGGAGATAGAGACGGTAATTATAATAATGGCAATCCACATAACATTATGTAAAATTAGAGCTTTATGGATAGCGACATTAGTAACACAATTTAATACATGTGCATAAACTGCTAGGACTGCACTGTTTAACACTTACCTTTTGTTGGTATATGGTACATTTTCCCATATTTCAGGTGGCACATAATAAGGTGTCCCAACATATGTGCATGCATGAGCCATCGGACTGACCAAAAAAAAAAAAAAAAAAAAAAAAGGGACACAGTTGTCAAATCAGATTTAAACTTACAAGCATATATTAAGATAACGGTTTTACTTTTTAAAAATGTTTTCTATAGAACTGTATATGCACAGCAAAAACTACTGCTCTTTTTGGCCCCTCTTTGTTCACTTTATTTAAAATCAACCAACAGAAGAGAATGGTGTTGCAGCACAAGCCTTTTCTATTGATACTGGAATACAATCTATAGCCTAAAGCTGGCCGACAGGCACATTTTTCTGTCTTCATTTTAATCATTATATATTCGAGCCACCGCTTTTTTCCTTCCAGGTTCACATTTTTTGCATGTGTGAAGTACACAAGAGTATATTTCTTTGTTTATAGTAAGAATTTTCCAGTATACGGAGAACCATTTTGCAACTAATGCTGCACATTTATCACTTCCACATGCTGATCTTTAATCTTAGATTAACCCTAGCTACATCACTTTATAATGCTTCCTATACAACAGGGGCGTCCCTAGGGTTGGTGTCACCCGGTGCGATAACACTTGGTGACACCCCCTCCAACGATCACCGCAGAATGGATCGGATCTGCGGATTGAGCATAATGGATTGGACTCTGATCCATTATGCTCCCAATTCGCAGATCCGATCCATCATGCAGGGATCGTCGGCTTTCTTTACAACTTACCTTTTCGTGGAGCGAGTCCGTTGTCACTCCGTATAGGTTGCATGCCGATGATCCCCGCAGGATGGTTCAGATCTACGGATTGAGCATAATGGATCAGAGTCCGATCTATTATGCCCCCCATTCTGCGGATCTGATCCATCCTGCGGGGGATCATCGGCATGCAACCTATACGGAGTGACAACGGACTCGCTCCACGAAAAGGTAAGTTGTAAAGAAATCCGACGATCCTCGCAGGATAGATCGGATCCAACCTGCAGAGATTGTCGGCTTGCTTTACAACTTACCTTTTTGTGGAGCGGGTTCCGGTGTCTCCCCGTGCGGTAGGTGTCACCCGGTGCGGCACCTGCCTCGGGATGCCACTGCAATACAATACCCATTTTGTTCAGTAATGTGAGCAGTCTGGGTATGGTTAGAGACGATTGGGTATTAAAAATCTTCTGTACTAGTGTCAGGCATTTGCCAGCAAATTGGAAAAAGTGGGTAACACATTATTATGATTTGCCTAAAAAAAAAAAAAAAAAAAGAATAATCCTGGCAATGTGTTTTAAATTTGCATTGGTCTGAAGGGAAAAATGGTTCATCATTTTTTAAAATATTTGCAAGGACCTTAAGATCTTAAGGGCAACCATACCTGAAGACCTAACAGAGCTTTCATTAGATATGCAAGTCATACTGCATGCCAAACGTAACCTCTGAATTCTCTTATTACAATGTCAGTCACATTACATTGTGAACCCGATATGGCACATACCTGCTAAGAATACGCGCTGATCCAAAATCTCCCAGCTTTATTGTTCTGTTTTGTGTTAGAAATATATTCTGCATGGGAAAATACATTAAAAAAAACTGTTGTCTACATTTCTCAGATCATTTCATGTGTAAATTGGTAAACATAACAAATATACACTAGTGTGTGTAGAATTTTGGAGGATTTACAATAACTATTGCAGAGAACATGCAAAGTTCATGCATGCAATGTAAAATTCAACGTATTAAAGACCAATTCCAGGTAAAAGATTTTTTTTTTTTACTTTGTATGGAAAGGGGAAAGTTTACAACTACTCTCATTCTTTTTTTTTTTTTTCTTGGTTGCTCATTTCTGCCTGTAATTGAATTTAGGATTTTCCTCCCCTCTTTTTTAACCCTGTAATAGGACAATAAAGATTAGAACCAAGAAGGGAAGGCAGAGATAAGAGAAATCAGACAGAGGTTCTGTCCCTCTACACTTTGTTTCTTTGTCTGCATTGCAACATACTGATGGGTAGTTTCTGTGCCCCCAAATATCAGAATGATGCTTCTAAGTCAGGAAAGGAATAAGTATTAATAGAAGTTTCCAATGGAATGGAAGCATAATGATAGGCGCTTGGGAATACCAACCAGTGTGCTGCCATTCCTCTTTGTTATTTGTTGATCTTTCTATGGCATATACTTACCTTGGGACATATAGGGGGTTATTTACTAAAATTGGAAAGTGCAAAATCAGGTACAACTCTGCATAGAAACCAATCAGCTTCCAGGTTTTGTTGCCAAACCTTAACTGAACAAGCTGAAGTTAGAAGCTGATTGGCTACCATGCACAGCTGCACCAGATTCTGAGTGCCGTTTCACATATATGCAGATTAGATGTGGTTTGAAATGCATCCAATCTGCATGACATGTGAAATAACATTGCTTCCTATGGTGCCTGATCACATATGTCCAGTACACTGGTGGTGTGGATTCAGTGCGGTTTTAAAAAGAGTCCTGTACAATTTCTGAGCAGTGCGGTCTGGTTCAGGTGTGGATTACAGGCTATTGACTTCAATGGGAACCGTTTCTAAAATCGCACATGTAAGAACAGGATAAAATCCTGTCCTATACCTGACCTGAACAACTACTTTATCAATTGGATGTGAGGGGGCGAAACGCATTGACGCAACTTCTGGTTCCGGCGCTGTACATGTGACATCACTTCCGGTGTGGCGTTCCGCAGCCATCTTTAGTGTGGACAAAGGTCTGATTTTACAATTTTGCCAGTTCTTCATTGCCAAAGCTGAGCAATTGTGTCTGCCTAGCTGGAATTGTCAGAGGAGCTATTAGAACAAGTTTGAGGAGTCCTGATTTATATACAAAAAGTCTTTTTATTCAGTTTGAAAATGTGAGTGCATTTGGAGCATCACTTGAGTATTAAATAGTATTTAACAGTATTACGCTATTTTGGTATTTTTTTCTTTTGCATTTTTCTCATCCATCCATGAGAATGCATTCGGGGTAAATTAAGGAGGAATCATGAGCGAAGGTTTGTGAGTAACTAGCTGGTCATAAAGTACCCCTATCCATTCATCCAGGAGTGAGAGCTTGGAGGAAGATAAGGGTGGATCACCATTTGTGATGTGGGAGATCAAATTACCCTATGGAAATTGGGGCTTAATTACTTTATGTGAGTGTATATTTTTAATATATTTTTTTTATTGGTATATAGCAATATATCATTGGCATCTTTTTCTTTTATGTTTTTCGCTATATGAGGAAATATCTGGGAAGGAGAGTCAGTGTGAGATCGCATAGAGTTATATCATCTCTGAGGACACCGCAACCCACCTGCAGGCTTGCCTTTTTTGCATCTTAAAGCCATACCAGTTTGGGAATTCACAGCATTTGGTGAGTGTGGATCTATAAATTGCTTTTCACAGAAGATGTGAGCAAGCTCGAAAATTTATAGTTTGAGTAAATAATAATTTTTTCACATTTTTTGGGACATTGGACACTAATATGGGACTTTTTCTTTGGACTTTCACCTATAATTTGTCACAGTTTTGATTATTTGTATTATTTGCGCTGTATTATTTTTATTATTATTTTTAGATGTGAAATTGGAGCTTCAATCCGCACCGCACATGTGTGAACAAGATAAAATCCTGTCCTAATCCTGTCCTGAACCTGATGTAAACCTGACATGAACCGCTGAAAAATACTGTGTTAATTAGCTGTGAAACCTGAGCTTCAACCCACACCGTACATGTGAGTCAGCTCTAAATCTACCCCATACTGTTCACTAAATGGCATAAAAAAAGTTTTGAATGTTACAAATTTAAAAGGGTCTAAACTCCCTAAAGCCTCAAAACCCTATACAGGCAGCCCAGTTTTAAGAACTGAAATAACAACCATTGGGTTCTTACACAACAATGCAACTTGTCCCTTGTTGAATTCCTAAAAAATACTCCATACTGTCTATTCATGTGTCATCCCTATAGGCAGCCATCTTATCCCAAGGAGGAGCAGATGTTTCTCTGAAGGTGCAGCTGCTCCTTCAGCTCAGCATATCAATGGTCTGCCCTACCCCCAGAAATGTGGGAAAAGAAGTCATGAACTCTTTTTGAAAATTGTGCCGCACAAAAATCAGCACCATGAGGATTCGCATTTGTGAAAATGCAGGCGGTTTGCTGAGGCATGGGGGTGCCATTAAAGCTTAATGGCACCCCGCACATCTGGTGAACAGCAGTGTGTTTCTCTTGCGTGCATGCAAAAGTGTGCACTTAGCCTTAGTGCATCCACCTCAGAGCTGAATGCAGGCAGTCCATAGAAGTGGATGCACATACAGCAGCTTCATGGACACAATAGCATGTCTACGTTTGACATGCTGGCAGGAGTGGGTGCACAGAGCTGAACACAGACACTCTGCCATTAAAGCGGTTCTTCACTCTGAAAAAAAAAATTAAAAGTCAGCAGTTACAAATCCTGTAGCTGCTGAATTTTAAAAAAAGGACACTTACCTGTCCAGGGATCCAATGTTGTCTTCACTCAGGCCAGTTCTTCTCTAGCTTTTGGGTTCCCAGCGCCGGCATCCTAATTGTGTGCAGCCAGCTATGCTGCTTGCGGTTTCACAGCTGCCCGCTGCACTTGAAGCTCTGGTGAAGTTCCATTTTAATGTGTCATTCAGGCTGCAGTTAATCTTTAAAGTGACCTGACCTCAACACTGATTATACATATGCTCAAATCCAAACCTAAAAACACTAGATGCCCTTCATCTAGATTACATGGAGGACATAAAGGAATGACTTCATATTGGCATTAATGTCATTTTCTCTCCCTACACTGGTAATTATTGTCAATATTCACCCTATATAGTCCTGGACAGTTCAGCTCTGAAATCTGTGTTCAGATGACCAGTACATGTTACAGAACTCACCTTGGACTTAATATCTCTATGTAGGACCCGTTTCTCATGAATATGTTGTACTGCCAGGCACATCTGTACAAACCACTGCAGAATCTGCAGGAGACACAAATTAAACATATACATACAGTCAGGTCCATAAATATTGGGACATCGACACAATTCTAACATTATTGGCAATACTTTCCTCACGCTGTGACAGGGTGAGAAGTGTTGCCGATAACCAGCAACTGTATTTACTCCGTGATCTGCTGTGTCATTGGACAAAGCTGATCACGTGGTAAAAGACCGTTGTGGGAGGACATCATATGATGCCCTCCCAGAACTGGACAGCCGTGCTGTAGCCGTCATTCAGCTTTAGCATGGTTAGCAAGTGGTTAGACAGTATAGGCACTTAATTTTAATGGTTTACATAGTAATACCTGCCAAAGGGGCCAGCCTGAAGTGATCTAGCAGGACATATTTTTCTGACTAAAGTTCCACTTTAAAAGAGAACGGGTTTGTAATATACATAACCCAACTGTAAGAGCCCATTATAAAGACAGTAGTCCCATTAAAATTTCTAGACATAATTTCTATCCCTTGTGAAATGAAGATTCTGTATGTTTATATTGCATATTTTGCATTTCTCTCCTACCTGGCAGGAAGCACTTCATCTTTTCACACACCAATAGAGAAAGTTGCTGGTGAAAGGTTATTATTTATGGTGTTGTCCATGTCCCGGTTATGTACAGTAGAATCAAGTTAACTATACATTATGCTATTATAACAATGTCTCACACTCACAGTCTGTTCAGAAAAAAGTTTTCCCCTTTGATGTTTAATGGTTGCCAGCAGGTCACCTCCTTCACAATACTCCATCACTATGTACAGATGGCCATCCTCTGTCAACAAAGAAAAACAGAGGGGAAATCATTTCATAGAGACACGTGAAGAAATGAACTAATTTATTGTACAAAACTGAAAGTCAAAGGAGTGACATACCAGCTCAAGGGTCAGAGTGAGACTAAACAAGAAGATGCAAGATTGTCTAAAATATATTTTATTCTCCAGCAGTCTGTAATGATCCAATCAACATTATTACATAGTTGATCTTTGTACCCAGATATTTTACCTTCTCTGTCAGCTTTGCACTCCATTGGGAAACACTCCATGTTTCTATTGAGCATAATATCATCTAAGGGTATGCTTATGTAGCGCAGACCCCTATCAGACCTTGCAGATTTGCCCCAGGATCTTTTCCCAAATAAGTGCAGAGCAGCCAGGCACACAGCAGCACCAACAGTCTCACGACTCATGGAACAGACAAAGAACATCTTTTTAGATTTAATGTTTGTTGAAGTTGGATAAGGAACAGGGTGAGCTTCAGGATGCTTTAAATGTTTAGCACACAAAGTTGTAGAGGACACTCACTCTCTGCCTTAACTCTACTCTTTAGGATAATTTCCCTCTTGACTGACGATAAGGGAACAAGCAACTCAGCGACTCCAAACACAGGAACAATCTGGAGCAGGTGCTCAAAGGGTTAAAGGATAAGTTCACCTTTTAGATCGCTGATGCCATGCAGGTCTCCTGCAGACCTGTCAGAATATCTGTTTGCCGTATGGGATGTATGAGCAAGCAGATATTCTGACCGGAAAAATGAATGAACTACAACATCGCTTTACAGCGCCGTGGAACTTCATTGAGGACTACAAGCTGACATCCGCTAAGGCTGCCGAAACTTGTAGTTTCTCATTCGCAGAGGAGTGACGTGGCCGGGCAGCCCTCACTTGACTTTGAATGAGTAACGTAGCCATGTGGGAGGAAGGGGGAGAAGATTCCCTGCTAGCTGTCAAAGCAGGGATCGGGGGCTGGTCTGAACGTACCATGTTACACCCTGAATATGGGTGTAACATGTAACATGTTATAAAAGGTGAACTTATCCTTTAAGCAGCAATAGTCACTAGGATCTCTCACTCTGGCCTATACTCACAATGCCCCCATGTACTTGGATGCCTCCGTCTAATATCACCCAGACACTTCTGTGAACCTTCAGGCCAGCATCTTCAGTCAACCCCCTTTGAACTGGCTCTAGCTCCTCCCAGAAAGTAGACCCCCCCCCCCCCCAGCTTTCCTTGAGCTGGGACCTTGATGAGCTCCTGCAGACGTCAGCTAATCTGCCCAGAAAGGCAGCAGCCCTTCAGGCTGGGTATTCTCCGCCTGGACAAGAACCCTGCTGTTCCAAGCCCAAAACCATTTATGCACCCTCCAGTCACCTACTGGTCATTCCCTTCCTCAGAAAATGGCTGAGAGACAATATGAATATTTAGGTCCAGGGTCTGCCTCCTCCAGCCCACTACATTCTACAATCCACGAGAAGGCAGGGGAAAGTCATTCAGCCTGCAGCCAGCAAGACTTGGAACAGCCCAAAATAGTCACACACTGCTCCACTTACTACAGAGGAGCTAAAACTGAATTTACCTTAGCCTCTCTAGCAAACCATTCTAGGTGGGTGCTAAAAGTATACCCCAGTCATAACTGCAGCCTTAAGATGTATGCAGGTAGCATACATTATCTTCACAGTTCTTCTATTTCTAATCCAGAGAATTCCGAACCCAATCCTGTCTATTTGTATCCGGGAGATCCTGGGACTCTCCTATGGGCTTCTTGTTGTCTCTCACATACAGTAAAAATAAACATGCCAAAACTAAGAAGTTTCTCAAAGTCACCAATCAGATGCATCTCTTCCTTGGAGGACTGAATGTGATTGGTGATTCTCCTATGCAGCCTGTTACATGGTCTGTGAAACCAGGGTGCAGTGGGTTACAGAGAACTCAGATTAACCCCTTCACGCCTAAGGGAAAAACAAATCTTAATGCCTAAGCACAATTTTGTAATGTTGACATGTGTTAGTAAAACCGTACATATCATCACAACTACTTTGTACATCCAGGTGAATTTTACTTTGTTTTTTTAGGACAAATTGGGCTTTCATTTGGTGATAAATGGTAATGGATATCTCCTGATTTTTTTTTTTTTATTATCAAAGGAAAACTGTCCCAAAATAGTAAAAAAAAGATCATTTTTTTTATTTATCTGTGTGTTTTTCCTGTTACTACCATACCCTACCACCAAAGAACAACCCAAAATAAATTTTCCAGTTCTTGATGATTGCAGCGATACCATATATGTGTATGTTATTTGTTGTTTGTACCCGTAGTACAGCCCAGAAACAATAATGCGCATTTTGTTTTATGTTTACCTAAAACACACTGACACTAATACCAATAAAAAAAATTTTAAAAATCCTGACCTTTGACCTTAACACTAACCCTGGCACTGAACTAGATCAAACCTTGATCTAGGTATTTTTTCTTTATTTTATATTTATTTATCATTTTTTTTTTTTAACAAACATTTTTTTTTCCCTCTATGCCGGGAGTCAGAGAGATACAATGTATCACTCTCTTCCATTCCTAGAGAGAAAAAAAAAAAAACAAGGGGACTGGGCTGAACAGTGACTGATCGCTGTGATAGCCAATCAGAGGCTACCACAGTGATCATGCGACCCGGAATCGGGGGTCCCGATCGTCAGAACAGGACCCGGGGCTCTCAGTGACACCCTGGTCTTTGTGCTGGGAGCGCGCTGTGCGGCGCACTCCCAGCACAAACACAAGTACGCAAATATGTGGCCCCACGAAAAAAAGACCAGTTCTGTGAGGCCTCATATTTGTATGAAGTCGGCGTCAAGGGGTTACAGTACAGGAATAAGTTTATCTAGATTTATGCTAACTTACCCTTCGAGCCCTCCTGAGCTAAACTATGTACAAAAAACACCTGCTGAATATTGATCAGGATTGATCAATATTCAGATATATACCATAGTTTGTGAACTCTACAACTTTCCTACAGACTAAATAATAAATACTAATTTGGGTTATTTTCACCAAAAAAAGTAGCAGAATACATTTTGGCCTAAATTTATGAAGAACAATTACTTATTTGCAAACTTTTATAACAGAAACAAAGAAAAACGCGGGTTTGTTTCAAAATTTTTGGTCTTTTTTTGTTAATTTAGCAAACAATAAAAACCGCCAGTGGTGAATAAATACCACCAAAAGAAAGCTCTAGTTATGTGAACAAAATGATAAAAATTTAGTTTGGGTACAGTGTTGCATGACCACGCAATTGTTATTCCAAATGTGAGAGCGCTGCAACCTGAAAATTGGACTGGGCAGGAAGGGGGCAAAAGTACCCAGTATTGAATTGGTTAAACTATTTTTTTTTACATTTCTTCAGATACCGTATATACTCGAGTATAAGCCGAGTTTTTCAGCACATTTTTTGTGCTGAAAAACGGCCCCCCTCGGCTTATACTCGAGTCAACGTCTGCAGGGGGGGGGGGCGCGAGGCTCCGTCAAGGGGGGCGCGTACAGGGGTGGGCAGAGGGCTGCTGTCTCTTACCTGGCTCCCACGATGATCCATCCAGGAAGCGCTGCTCCTTCCGTCACTCCGGCCACTCCCTCACTCCTGCCGCTCGGCTCCGCCTCCTCACCGGTGATTGGCCGCCAGAACTGTAGCTCAGGAAAGGTACACAGGTGGCCAATCACGGGCGAGGAGGCGGAGCCGGCGGACCCGCGAAAATCGAGTGAGGGAAAAGCCGGTAAGTGTGCAGTGCAGAGGTGCTGCTGCAACCACATATGCTGGCTGCAGCAGCACCATACTGCAACAGGGGTCAGCAAGTGTCATTGGTGTCAGTGGGAGGAATAGTGCCGCATCATTGGTGTCACGGATACTAATGATGGGGCATTATTCCTCCCACTGACACCAACGATGGGGCACTATTCCTCCCACTGACACCAATGATAGGGCACTATTCCTCCCACTGATACTAATGATGGGGCATTATTCCTCCCACTGACACCAACGATGGGGCACTATTCCTCCCAGTGATACCAATGATGGGGCACTATTCCTCCCAGTGACACCAATGATGGGGCACTATTCCTCCCACTGACACCAATGATGGGGCACTATTCCTCCCACTGACACCACTATTCCTCCCACTGATACCAATGATGGGGCACTATTCCTCCACTGACACCATGATGGGGCACTATTCCTCCCAGTGATACCAATGATGGGGCACTATTCCTCCCACTGACACCAATGATGGGGCACTATTCCTCCCACTGACACCAATGATGGGGCACTATTCCTCCCACTGACACCAATGATGGGGCACTATTCCTCCCACTGATACCAATGATGGGGCACTATTCCTCCCACTGACACCAATGATGGGGCTTATACTCGAGTCAATAGTTTTTCCCAGTTTTTTGTGGTAAAATTAGGTACCTCGGCTTATATTCGGGTCAGCTTATACTCGAGTATATACGGTAATTACTGTTTTTTTGCCTTGGCAAATGATGTCATATATCCCAGGAGTCTTCTGAAGAAGAGGAGGGGTTTTCTCAGCTACGCAGGCCCTGCTGCATGCATGCCTGAACTAAGGGCAGACGAATTCCAGGAAGTTAATGCTACATGGATCATCTGCCCTTACTCAAGATGTCCACGGCCAGAAATGCTAGGGTGTGTTTTTCAAAGTTTCATCAAAATAAAGCATGGAGACATGGATGGGCTAGTTTGCTTTGAATATTGTAAATTAATTAAAAAGCATTTTTAGTTTTTGGTGCTTAGATGCAGTGTAGCTCTGCTTTAACCGTTTCCCGACTATCCTAGCCTATCATAGCCGCAACTGTCAATCACTGGGTCCCGGACGGTGATTGCCGAGGATCTCTGACGGGGAGGAGAACTGTTTTGTTTACTAACAGTTCTCCTCTCTGTCAGCTCGGGCAAACTGCTTTGGATGGCTGTGCACAGCACAGCCATCCAAAGTAGTGTGTTTACAGTGAAGCACACTGGCACCACCCCCTAGTAAAACACTCTCAGCACACAGTTATCCCTTTGATCGCCCTCATGTTAACCCCTTCCTGCTCAGTGCCATTAGTACAGTGTCAGCGCTTTTTTTTTTATTTGTAGCACTGATCACTGTATTGGTGTCACTGGGGATATGAGTGACACCAATTCAGTTCCCCTCAGTGTCAGGATGTCCACCGCAGTCCCGCTATAGTTTGCTGATTGCCACCATTACTAGTGAAAAAAAGATCCCAGTATATATACCACCATTTGTAAACGCTATAACTTTCACGGAAACCAATTAATTTACATGTATTGGGATTTGTTTTAGCAAAACATGTAGCAAAATACATTTTGGCCTAAATTTATGATGAAATTTGATTTTTAAATTTTTTTTACTGGACATGTTTAATAGCAAAAAGTCACAAATATTGTTTTTTTCACAAAATTGTCGGTCTTTTTTTTTCATAGCACAAAAAATAAAAACAGCACAGGCAATCAAATGACACCGAAATTTGTGGGAAAAAAAGGACATAAATTTAATGTGGGTGCAGCGTTGCATAACCGCAAAATTGTCAGTCAAAGTAACGCATCGCCGTAACGCAAAAAATGGCCAGGTCAGGAAGGGGAGTAATTCCTCAGGAGGGCAAGTGATTAATACTCCTGATGAGACTCAGACAAGGAGACAAAAATAAACTGACGGAGGTTTAATCTCTTCCCTATTATATGCAAAAAAACAAACAACATCTGTAGTGAGCTAACAGCACTGCTACACTGGAATTCCAAGTAGTATTGTCTGCTCTGCCTTGCTCTCTTCCGATGGGTTACAGAACACCTCCTTTTGTACTTATATCCAGGTGTTCTGTAGTACAGCAGGGGAGAATTTAGGCAGGGCCGACAACGCTGCCTGGGATTTTAGTGCAACACCTCCTTCTGTACTCATATCCAGGTGTTCTGTAGTACAGCAGGGGAGAATTCAGGCAGGGCTGACAACGCTGTCTGGGATTTTAGTGCAACACCTTCTGTACTCATGTCCAGGTGTTCTGTAGTACAGCAGGGGAGAATTCAGGCAGAGCTGACAACGCTGCTTGGGATTTTAGTGCAGCAGACGCAGCATTGTCGGCCCAAGCAGGAAGTTAAGAGCTCCCTGGATTTCTGGCAAGTCAACATTTTTTTCTGTATTTGCAGTGTTTTTAAAAGGTACATAACATGGGGAAAATGTTCTGTATTGCTTAGGTGTACTGGATATATATATTTTTTACATTTTGCCCAGACACACACTTAAATGGTGATGTTGCATATGTGAGGGAAAGGAATGAGACAAACTATCATGATTACAGAGTAAACTGAAGTATAATAGAATGAAAGAATACAAAGTTTATTACATGATATACCTTCAAAGGACTCTTTGAATTTCACGATATTGGGGTGCTTCATCTTTGCCAGAAGTATGGCTTCTTGTCTGGAATCCTGACTTGCTCCTGAGGACTGAAAACATAAATTTTTATTTCATTTACTTAATCTACATTGTAATTTTAATGTGAAATTTCAAATCCTATACATTCATAGTTCATCCATTTATTGCTGCATCTAATAAAAATTCTGTTACTAAAAGTCGTTTCACTACCGCAGTAGTTGCATACTTGATGAATCTCATTTACATTAGTCAATATACAGTTGTGCTTAAAAGTTTGCATACCCTGGCAGAAATCATGAAATTTCGCAATGGATAGTGATCACATGAAATTATTATCACATAGTTGTTTGGCTCCTTTTTAAATCATAATGATAACAAACATCACCCAAATGGCCCTGATCAGAAGTTTCCATACCCTGGAATGCTTGGCCTTGGTACAGACACACAAGGTGACACACACAGATTAAAATAGCAATTAAGGGTTAATGCCCCACATCTGTGGCTTTTTAAATTGCTTTTTAAATTGTTTGTTAGCGCTCACGTGGACGCACTGAGCAGGCTAGATACTGAGCCATGGGGAGAGCCATGAAAAGAATTGAAAAAGATGGAAAAGGATATAAAAAGATATCCAGTCAATAGTGTTCAATCACTTATTAAAAAGTGAAAAATTCAGAGATCGCTTGATACCAGCCAAGGTCAGGTAAACAAAGAAAGATTGCAGCCACAACTGCCAAAAGAATTGTTCTGGATACAAAGAAAACCCACAGGTAACCTCAGGAGAAGTGCAGGCTTTTCTGGAAAAAGATGGTTGTTTTTCAAGGAATACAATATGACAATACTTGAACAAAAATGAGCTGCATGTTCGAGTTGCCAGAAAGAAGCCTTTACTGCGCCAATGCCCTATAAAAGCCCGGTCACAATAAGCCCAACAACACCTTGACACACCTCACAGCTTCTGGTAGACTGTAATCTGGAGTGATGAGAAAAACCATGAGGCACAAAACCATAAGCGCTATGTTTGGAGAGGGGTAAACAAGACCTATAGAGACAAGAATACCATCCCCACTGTGAAGATTGGTGGTGGCTCACTGATATTTTTTTTTGGGGGGGGGGGGGTGAACTCTAAAGGCATGGGGAATCTTGTGAAAATTGATGGCAAGATGAATGCAGCATGCTATCAGAAAATATTGGCAGACAATTTGCATTCTTCTGCAGGAATGATGGACGTTCTTGGACTTTCCAGTACTACAATGACCCTAAGCACAAGGCCAAGTTGACCCTCCAGTATTTACAGCAGAAAAGGGTGAAGCTTCTGTAGTGGCCATCACAGTCTCCTGACCTCAATATCATCAAGCCACTCTGCGGATATCTCAAATGTGCGGTTCATGCCAGATAATCAAAGACTTTGCGTGACTTGGAGGTATTTTGCTAAAGATAAAAGGGCAGCTATACCATCTGCAACAATCTGGGGCCTCATAGACAATTAAAAAGACTGCACGCTGTCATTGATGCTAAAGGGGGCAATACACAGGATTAAGAACTAAGGGTATGCAGAATTTTATACAGGGGTCATTTCATTTGTTTACTTGTTGCCATGTTTTATGATTGTGCCATTCTATTAGGACCTACAGTTGAATATGAATCCCATAAAAAATAAAAGAAATGTGTTTTACCTGCTCACTCATGTTGTCTTTAAAAATGGTAAATACTGTATATTAACAATTCTCAAAGGGTATGCAAACTTTTGAGCACAACTAAATAAGAAAACACAGGAAAACAGAAATGGATATGCTACTCATAGCAACCATGCAGATTACATGGCATATCAGAATTTGGTGCTATGGGATCGCTGCTGGATGTTTCTGTGCAGAGTTTTAGGCACAAAGTGTTACCTACCCAAGAATACCCCCATCCATGTTTTTTTCATAATTTTTTTCGCCATCCTTTTTGATTCTCATTTGCTTTCGGTCTTCCAGAGTTGGCTGCACATCGTTTCTCTGAGCTGGTTTCCTGATCACGACGGTGAATGATGCATGTGCGACATATGTTAAGAGAGCTGCTTGTAGGCTCTGTACTTTTGAAATGACATTAATATGTCGATGCTTATATGAGATTTTAGCTATTAGGTTTAGATATATTTTAAAATGTCTGGATTTCAGCTTTTTTTATAGCGAGGATCACTGGAATTCAATAGCTTTTTGTCAGTAATATAGAAGGGGTTGGTCTATGCTTGAAGATTCAGGACTAGCACTTCTGCATCGTAGTAGAAGGAAAAATTCTAGCTCCCCTGAACAGTCTATGCTAGTTATTGTTCCCTTATTAAAAATGCATTACTGATTAACTAGAAAATTACAGTTCAACATCATCCTTACCGTTGGAAGTCGTACTTCTTTCATGACGTAATTGTGATTAGTGTTTTGGTGGCAAACTAAAAGTGCTCTACCAAATGATCCCTCTCCAATAACATTGAGAATCTTATAGTGCTCCATTCTTGCTGTCAGGAAAAAAAAGATGACATATTATCCTTCAAATTTACTGATTTGCTGTGCTTTGTAACATTCATGAGTGGTCTGGCTATAGTTCATTTCAAGAGGCTACTTCTCTCTTGCACACCATGGGCAATAAACATAGTCATGTGCCCAAAGAGGCCACTGTACTGCTTTGAATGGTCCACAAGATCTAAAATATTGGTCAACAAAACGTTGATAGAAATGCTTTTATATATATATATATATATATATATATATATATATATATTTTTTTTTTTTTTTCCTATCCTTCTGGGCAGCCACAGCTCTGCACAAATATGTCTCAACAAAAATGTAATGTTTCACATCCCCCAGGATGAAAGCCATATCAGCAAACGTAGTGTAAGGGCTCATGTACACGGGGCGTTTGGAAAACTCTTCTGAACAATGGAAACTGACTGCTGGAAAACGTAGGTTAAAAAAATATGTTAGTTTAGCTGCGTTTGTATACCACGTTTATGTGTGTTTGCGTTTAGAAGCGTTTTTAAAAGATAACCTCATGAGACTTTCCCAAATGCCCAGAATGCACTGAAAAACAGTAAAAAATTAACTATTTCAGACATTTTGAGAGAAATTGAGAGAGCAGAAGCAGAAAGAGCAGTATGTGTTGAGATGACCTGTCTTTTCTGGTTGTATTCACTATGGATCCCATCATGAGCATAATGCAGCACGTTCTACCATTTTGTTCCTTCATGAGAAACCCAGAACTGACTGCGCTGGTGTACCAGGTCCATTTGAGTACCTGGAAAATGCTTTGCATGCATTTTTGATGATGAAAAAAAAGTCTCTGGACAGCATCTGGACATGGAACAGTTAAAAAATGCTTCTAAACGCAAACGCTTATAAACACGGTTAACCGCGTTTACAAGCGTTTGAAATGCTGGTAAAATCTACTCCTGAACCCAAGTTTGGTGCGTTAAAAAAAAAGACTGTAAACTCAACTGCCTGTAAACGACATAGTGTACATGGACACATAGGAAAACATTAGGGAGGGTTCAGGGGCTGCTAAAAAAAAACGCTGAACAGCTCCTGAATGTCAGTTTAGCAGCTGCAGTGTACATGAGCCCTAATAATTCTATTTTATGCTTAGTTCACACATGCTAAATAAAATGTAAGTACACTGATAACAGGTATTTATTAATACAGAGTTTACAGAACTCCTCCTGACAACACATTTTGGCCACCTTTTAATGGGCACCCTCTGTTCCGTCTCAGCGGGGGATGATCCTAGAAAGATGCAATGCTGTGCTGGATCAGAACGATAATGGATGTCATATACAGTATGTGATTTCTGTGTTTGTTCCAAATGTATCCTCATCTGGTAAGGTCAGTAAAAGCAGACCTGGGCATAAACCTATTGCATTCATTCCTACAAACCGACACAGATACATATGTGGGAGGATATAGGCAGATGATATAGTGACTGGAGAAGTTAAATTATTTCTAAAGCCAAAACTTTTTTTGCTTGAAAAAGTAGGAGTGTTAAAACTGCTGTCATATTTTTTCTTGCAATCTTTGTCCCATTAGGGACACTTTCCTTCACTTCCTGTCCTGTAAATTCAACAAGAAGTGAATGAATGCTGTGAAATGATAAATATCTTTCCAATGTAAGGAAAATCCCCTCTTATACAGTGGTCACAGAAATGTTGCCAAGTCTTCTCTGATTCTCCCCTTCTTCTACTCTCCCCAATCCTTCTGCGGATAGTACAGAGCCCTAGGAGGCATTCTGCTGGAGTGCTATTCAAAAAGAATGGCATTGCATCACATACAGTTGCAAGAAAAAGTATGTGAACCCCTTGAGATTACGTGGCGTTTTGCATGAATTGGGCATAAAATGTGCTCTGAACGTTATCTAAGTCACAACAATAGAAGAACACAGTCTGCTGAACATAATACTACACAAACATTAGATGTTGCCATGGTTTAATTGCACATAACATGTAAACATTCACAGTGCAGGGAGGAAAAAGTATGTGAGGCCCTAGTTTAATGACTTCTCCCAGAGCTAATTGTAGCCAGGAGTGAGCCAACCTTGACTCCAATCAGTGTGATGATATTGGATGTGTTGCTGACAGCTGTCCTGTCCTTAAAAAACACACATCTGTTTTGGGTTTACTGGTTTCAAGAAGCACTGTCTGATGTGAACCATGCCTTGCAGAAAAGAGCTCTCAGAAGACCTACGATCAAGAATTGTTGACTTGCATGAAGCTGGAAAGGGTTACAAAAGTATCTCCAAAAGCCTTGATGTTCATGTGTTCAAGCCTTATGATGAAAATCAGCCAACATGATCCAGGATTCCCACACCAATGCAGCCAGATAGAGCAGAGGAACAGCAGAGAACCAGCCTTGATCCCACAAAATGGCCGCTGGAACGCACCGCTCGGCGTGCACTCCACTCACCGGAAGTGACGTCAGACGTATGGCAAATCGACCGGAATTACGTCAACGCGTTTCGCCCCTCCCATCGGGCGTTCTCAAGACCATGGATCATGTTGGCTGATTTTCATCATAAGGCTGTCATGGGCTTAATAAATGTGCCTGTTATAAGCTGTTGAAATGTGAGTGGCCTGATTTTGTCTTTTGGTACAATACTATTGTGGCAATATTACACTATATAAGTTTTCTCTTTGATGATATGGTGGAGCTAACTAGGAAGCCACGGTGAGGACCTGAAAGAAGATCTAAACTTGGAGGGGCAGGCTATCACTGAGCTGATGAAAAGGGGGTTTAGGATTCCCCAAAAATCCTTAAAGGCTTTTCACTCACCAAAATCTGGGGAGTGTATTTGATGTTGGTGTGCACGGGTGAAAGGTGGAAGGTTATAAACATCTTTGGAATCATCAGTTATCTTCACAAGGGACTTTATGGGTTTTTTCTGAAGATTTTTTGATATATACATGCACTATTTAATATGGGACATTTATATTGTGTGATTTACTAATATTTGTATTTAGGTCTATGTTGCGCTGTTTATCTATATATTTTACTGTTTGTGTTTTCACACATTATTTGCACAGCAGCAATTTAGAAAGGTGATTTATTGATTTTGATTGGCGCAGGAATATTTTTCTTTTGTACAAATGGAGAAAGTTTAGCACTGTTGCTACTCTCCCTAGGTGTGGTCGTCCTGTAAAAATGACTGCAAGAGCACAGCGCAGAATGCTGCATGAGGTAAAGAAGAATCCCAGAGTGTCAGCTAAAGACCTACAGAAATCTCTGGCACATGCTAACATTTTTGTTGACACATCTACAATACGGAAAACATTAAACAAGAATGGAGTACATGGGAGGACACCACGGAGGAAGCCATTGCTGTCCAAAAAGAATATTGCAGCACGTTTGAAGTTTGCAAAAGAGCACCTGGATGTTCCACAGCACTACTGGCAAAATATACTGTGGACAGATGAAACCAAGATTGAGTTGTTTGGGAAGAACACACAACACTATGTGTGGAGAAAAAAAGCACAGCACACCAACATCAAAACCTCATCCCCACTGTAAAACATGGCGGAGGGAGCATCATGGTTTGGGGCTGCTTTGCTGCCTCAGGGCCTGGATGGATTGTTGTCATTGATGGGAAAATGAATTCCAGAGTTTATCAAGACATTTTGCAGGAAAACGTACGACCATCTGTCCGCCAACTGAAGCTCCGCAGAGGATGGGTGATGCAACAGGACAATGACCCAAAGCATACAAGTAATTCAACAAAACAATGGCTGCAACAGCACAGAATACGCCTTCTGGAGTGGCCCAGTCAGAGTCCTGACCTCAACCCGATTGAAATCCTGTGGCATGACCTTAAGAGAGCGATTCACACCAGACATCCCAAGAATATTGCTACACTGAAACAGTTTTATGAAGAGGAGTGGTCCAAAATTACTCCAGATCATTGTGCAGGTCTGATCTGCAACTACAGGAAACGTTTGGTTGAGGTTATTGCTGCCAAAGGAGGGTCAACCAGTTATTAAGTCCAAAGGTTCACATACTTTTTCCTTCCTGCACTGTGAATGTTTACATGTTATGTGCAATTAAACCATGGCAACATCTAATGTTTGTGTAGTATTATGTTCAGCAGACTGTGTTTTTCTATTGTTGTGACTTAGATGACGTTCAGAGCACATTTTATGCCCGATTCATGCAAAACTCCACGTAATCCCAAGGGGTTCACATACTTTTTCTTGCAACTGTACATGTAATGTGCGCTTCAGTAACATGCGCATTACTGTAACAGGATAGTGTCAACCAGGGGCATCCCTAGGGTTGGCGTCACCCGGTGCGATAACACTTAGTGACACCCCCTCTGACGATCTCCGCAGAATGGATCGGATCTTCAGATTGAGCATAATGGATCAGACTCTGATCCATTATGCTCCCCAATTCGCAGATCCGATCCATTCTGCAGAGATTGTCGGCTTTCTTTACAACTTACCTTTTCGTGGAGCGGGTCTGGTGTCACCCGGTGCAGCGTGCACCCCCGCACCTGCCTCGGGACGCCACTGGTGTCAACAGGACCTCTACAGAGAGGGATTTTCCCTATGGTTTGCACAGAGCAGCCCTGACCCTACTCTTGGGTCCCCCACCAGTGCTGCTGACCTCTGGTGAAAAACCAGTTTGCAAGACATAAGTATGCTGTGACAGACTGATACCACAACCAGTCGCATGGCTTTTTGTAGAATGTGCCCACTCAATCTCTCAATTGAGATTTAAAGTCATTGACAAAATCCCTAAAGATAAACAAGGAAGGGATAGAGAATTGACACTGAAACGTCAAGAGGTCTATTGGATAGAGCATTTGAATACCCTACAACTAAGAGGTCTGAACCTGAATTGTGATCTTCATCTGTTTTTATAGGTGGGTATGATGTGGTAGGATTTGTTTTGTTATGATTATCATTACTATTTTTTTGCTTCTATGGATGGAGTCTCTCAATTTATATGTATGCATGTTTCCTGGATGCATA